CACCCAGAGGGCCGGGTGCCAGCGGCTGCCAGTTCCGGTCAATGGCGGAACTGGGCACAGTCGCCGCTGGCCCAGCTGGCTCGGGGCGTGAGGGAGGAGGAGGAGGAGCCGAGAGCCGGGGAAAGGACCCCCACCCCGGCCTCGCGCGCCCGCCACGGCCCGCGCAACTTCAGAGGAGGTCGGGGGCGCGCAGAGGCGCTGCGCGTGTCGCTTGGGTGCACGTGCACGCGCGCGCCTTGGGCCACTTCCTCCCGGGCCGTGAAACCTAAACCCAAGACTGGTGACAGGTCGCCTGGAACGCGTTTACAGTAGGAGAGACTTTCCTCCAGAAAGCGCCGCCGAGTCGGTCCCCATTTGTCTCCTCCCTGTAACTGTGACCGACAGGCGAGGCTCAGCCTTGCCGGCACCCCGAGTCCCCGGCGGCGCGCGCCCGGGCTCCGGAGCGGGGCACCTGTCCCTTAGAAAGGGTGGCCTCGGGCGTCCTGAAGCGGAGCGCGCGGCTTCGCGGCAGCCGCTCTCCGGAGGAACTGCGTCCGAAGCCATTCCTGCCTCGGCAGACGGAGCGAGCCCGGGGACCCGCCACCTCCCGCTCGGCTGACCCGACCCGAGGGGCGTGCCTCCCCAGACTTCGGGACCTTCTGACCAGTGAACGGGAGGCGGCAATTGATTTATTGGGGAGGGGAGGGGATCCGAATTTACCGACACTCCCTGTTAGCCGCCGAGCGTGCCCACCGCTACGTAAAGCAGGTAAAGTGGTGGAGGGTGCAGCAGCTCGGGAGAGGACCAGGAGGGAGAAGCAAGCCAGCTGGCCACCCCACGCTTTGCAGCGCCTCCTCGCCCGCGCAGGGAGGCTCAGCGCTGCCACCTGGCGGCCGCGCTCCCGGGAGTGGAAGCGGCGGGCTGCAGAGCCATCCAGGCTCTGCGTGGGTGTGCCACGGCTCTACCTGCAGAGCGCCCGCAGAAGCCGCTCTTCTGCTCCAATCTACGTGGCCCGTGCCAACGCTCGTTTTCTGCTTGTTCTCAGGAAATTGAGGGGAAAGGAGTAATGGGTTGGCATTGATTGGCACTGCTCTGGAGAGCTTACTTGAGTCTTCTGTGGCTAGTGAGAGGTGATGAGGGGAGAGAAAGTGGAATTGTTAGCAATGTGGGTTTCTTATATCTCAGTTTATTCTAAGAGTAAAAATATATCATACTTACCCCGGAATTCTGTCTTGATACCTTGCAAATAAGAATTATTTATATATTTTATTTTTGAAGTACAACCCCTTTCCCCTAGTCCAGTTCCAATACAGCCTTATCAGCCCAGACACATGAGGTGCAAGTTACGTTTGTCTCCTTGACTGAGGAGTAAATCAGCCTTGGATGGAAGGTCTTTTTCCATAAAGTGTGAAACAAAAAGCCTGGGGCCTTTCAGTGGACAAAGGCCACTGACATCATGTTTCCCGGGGCTTCTTCTCTGTCAACTAAAGTAACAACAATAGGGTTTCCCCCACTCTTTGTTTTATTTGAACTGAAGACTTGTCAGGTCAGACCAGCTCCTACAATCACAGTTTCTACAACCAAGGCAAGGCAAAAATCGTGCAAATCCAGGAGATCTGTTAAACTAATCTCCAGCCAGGTCTTTCTCCCCCTTGGTTCTATAGGACTATATTAGGGAGAGGGAGAGAGAGAATCTTATTTTCATCTATACCCCCTACACAACGTTTTATGTTGTGCAGGTATGTGACAGAAGAAATGCATTTGCAGACATTATGTGTGCATCTCAAGTGGATTCCATTATTTATGTGATATTTTTACTATTTTTTTTACCTTAATTCAACATTTGAAATGTCTCACATCATTGCCAGTGAAGACAATTAGTTTATTATTCTAAAGCAGGATTATTTTATTATTATTATTATTTTTTTTTGCAAAATGATCTTGGCTTTTTGTTAATACAGCTAAGAGCAGCATTAAGAATTACTTCATGTACTGCAAAAACCAGCAGAGGGAACACTCAGTACTGATCAAGTAGGGGCCACCAAAAGGCTGGTATTTGGGGGAAAATGTCAGTAATGGAGAACTGATTACAAAACATATGAAGTTAGGTAATGAGAACACAGAAATCTTTTCTCATTGTCTGGTTTTCAGAAGCCCAATACATTCCCACATGCACATACTTTACCCAGTTGAAAGATGACTTTACTAAGAGGCCCTTTGTCACATGTTTTTTTTTTTCTTCTTCCACATTCTAAGCAATCTAACACCTAAGAACAGATCTACTTCAGAAGTCTAAGCACTCATGTGTATCTACATAAAAAATCATTTAGAAAAGTCAGTGGAAGTTACTGATTTCATATTTCATTTTAAAGAGAAACCTTTTCATTTCAACAGGGAGGTATCTTCCACATAGAAAGAAAAAAAACTTTTTTTTTTCCCCCATTGGTAATTTTTCTTCCTTAGTGGCATATAAAGTAGAGGTGTGTCTTAAAATCTGTTTGATGAGTTGAATACAGAAAAACATCTAACAACAGAATTAGACCAGCGACTAATTTTTAATATACTCTTTTAAAAAAATCTGTCTTAAACATAATCATAATTACTATGGCTATTTTAACTTCCATTTTTTTCTCCAATCATATTCAATGGTGAAAGTGTAAATGATGTTAGAAATATAATCAATTATGTTGAAACTCACTCAACTTAATTATCAAACTAGCTACACCCTCAAATCATTAGGTAGTACAAATCCCAAAATAAATATATTTATCCTGTTATTTTAATCTGGTGAAAACACTGACCTCATAGATAACAGACTTCTTAGGATCATTTTTATATCAGATTAATAACATTTACAGGGATGGGGTTGTGGCTCAGTTGGTAGAGTGCTTGCCTAGCATGTGAGGAACTAGGTTCGATTCTCAGCACCACATATAAGTAAATAAATAAAGGTCAATCAAAAACTGGAAAAAAAAAACATTTACAGGTGTGTTTCTGTGCATAGCAAAAAAAAATGACAAAAATTTATTATGAGGACATACTAAATTTGTGATGCAAAAAAAGGTTGTCATTGTGTTTTTGGTTGGGAGCTTTTTTTGGTTTTGTTTTAAGATTCCCTCTTCTAGGGAAAAAAAAAAAAAGTAGTAGTGAATACCCAAGGTAGCTAATGGCCAAAAATTATTTGCTTTTATCCACTAAAACATTCTTGTGTTTGATTGATCCTTAGAGATCCAATCAGCTCTCTCCATAGGGTGTTTTTTTCATTAAAATTCTAAACCTGACAACCTGGGCCTCTTGCCAGCCTACATACTTTAAAGATTTGACAAGAAAAAAATGGAAATATACCCTTGAATGCAAAGCTGACTTTATGTTGGCCTGGCCCTGCCTAACTCCATCTATCACTGACCTGAGGAAAATGTTAAGGAAGGCCAGTTTTTACTAAAACTTGAATTTTCAGATCATGGGAAATAGGTTCATTTGTGTGGCCAAATGAACGTGTAATCTGAATACCTAGGCCCTGTGTCCTTGCCACATCCTTCAGTATTCTTCATGAAGTTCCTTTCTTGGGATTGTTATCTTGGAACATCCTCATCATGAGGATAACAACCATGGGGCCCTGAGTGGTTAACATCTATGATCTGTGATGAAATTTCCACACCAGTGGCCACCCTGTCCCGTTTTAGCCTCTTGAACAACAAGCTGCTATTTACTAGAACCAGTGTGTGAGGGGCCTCGGGTGCAGCATTCACAGAGGGCTTACACAGTCCCCTATGGTCCCAAAGTTATTGAACACCCACAACAAGCTACAGAGGAGCTTCGTGTTCTGAAATTACAGATGACCTCAGCTGAGACAGTCCCAGACCCACAGTGACAAAACCAGTAAGGAAGACTGGACACCAGGCCTAACATTAATTCAGAGGCTGGGTCCCCCTCGGCCCCTCAGCTACCAGTTAGTCCCATTTGATACAATTAACACACATGTAGGGAAAATATGTGAGGGAGAGGAAGAGGAGGACTTTAGGGGAAAGAGAGGAATAGAGTGAACCAATCTTTCCTTTGGAAAAGGTGGAAAATAAATATTTAGAAAGTAAAGTCAATTTCAATCCTGTCCTTACCATTATCATCCTATACAAAACCCTATGAAGAGTCTCCCATTGAGGTCATTATGGAGCACTACCTAATGTGTTTCAAGGGAAAGTGCCTGTGTTTGGACTCTTCAGGATTTACAGGGGAGTTTAAATCATTGTAAATAACCATCCTTAACCCCTGTTTGGTTAAGAGTAAGCAATTACTGCAAAAAGTCATCTTCTCTGCCTTCCACAAACAGCACAGAAACTGTTCTGAAGGGATTTACACAATACATCAACATCTGTGCTGTACCTAAAGTTGTTAAAATAATTGTAATGACAGGTGTCTAGGTACCACTTTCTTAACGGTTTTCAATATCCACTGATTTATTGTTGTGGCTTTCCCTCCCCCCTTACATCTTGGGCTTTAAGAAGGAGCCCAGGAACAGGTTTTGCACTAGAGGCTGATTCTTTATTCCAATGCTGAAAAGAACTAATAAAAATAATCACTCGGCTTTTAAGCAGAAAGCTTCCATTTACAGTATTTCACCCTTACCCCCCTTTCCAAGCCCCTGTTATCTAACATAATGGTTAGAATACATTTCCGTCTCTCCCCTTAATAATTTCATGCATTAACATCCTCTCTCTCTCTCTCTCTCTCTCTCTCTCTCTCTCTCTCTCACACACACACACACACACACACAGCAAAACGAAAAAAGAGGCAGCAGAAATCTCAGCTGTACTTCTAGCCCTTTTAAAAAGTTTGCTCTGTAAATTGGAATGAGGTCAGATTTGGAGCTTCTCATTGCACGCGGAGATTATTATTGCACCGGGTTCCAAGCCAATGGGAAGCCCGGAGGAGGGGCTTGGCACGAGGAAGCGTTAGTTACAGCGGCTGATTGGCTGAGGCCAAGTCTGTGAAAGGATAAAGAGGCGCGAGGCGGAATTGGGGTCTGCTCTAAGCTGCAGCAAGAGAAACTGTGTGTGCAGGGAAGAGGCCTGTTTCGTGGGTCTCTAGCTCTTGCACGCTCTTTAAGAGTCTGCACCGGAGGAACTCTGCCATTACCAGCTCCCTTCTTGCAGAAGGGAGGGGGAAACATACATTTATTCATGCCAGTCTGTTGCACGCAGGCTTTTTGGCTTCCTACCTTGCAACAAAATAATTGCACAAACTCCTTAGTGCCGATTCCGCCCACAGAGAGTCCCGGAGCCAGAGTCGTTTTTGCTTTGCATTGTAGGAAAGGGACTGAGTGATAGAGACTATGTCGCTTTCCTGAGCTACCGAGTGCGCTCGTGAACTGGAATCAACTGCTTCAGGGGAAAGAAAAAAAAAAAGAGAGAGAGAGAGACTTGCCTGGGAGGCGGCGAGAAACTTGCAGTGGAAGAAGCTTCAGCACCAGCATTCAAGAAACTCCTCTTCCACCTTAGCACGGTCTCCAGACTCAGAGCCCACACCGAGCAAGCTGCAGCGCGGTGAGACCCGGAGCGAGCGGGGGAGAGAGGCTCTCCAGTCTGGGAACTATAACTCCTCTGCGAGAGGCGGAGTACTCCTCTCCCGAATCTTTTGGGGACTTTTCTCTCTTCGCCCACCTCCGCCCCGGCGAGGAGTTGAGGGGCCCGCCTGGCAGCCGCGCGCGTCCGCCAGCTCGGCGTGTGCTTGGCCCGGGGAGCCGGGAGGGCCCGGCGATCGCGCCGCGGCCGCCGCGAGGGTGTGAGCGCGCGTGGGCGCCCGCGGAGCCGGGGCCATGGTGCAGCAAACCAACAACGCCGAGAACACGGAAGCGCTGCTGGCCGGCGAGAGCTCGGACTCGGGCGCCGGCCTCGAGCTGGGCATCGCCTCCTCCCCCACGCCCGGCTCCACCGCCTCCACGGGCGGCAAGGCCGACGACCCGAGCTGGTGCAAGACGCCGAGCGGGCACATCAAGCGGCCCATGAATGCCTTCATGGTGTGGTCGCAGATCGAGCGGCGCAAGATCATGGAGCAGTCGCCCGACATGCACAACGCCGAGATCTCCAAGCGGCTGGGCAAACGCTGGAAGCTGCTCAAAGACAGCGACAAGATCCCTTTCATTCGGGAGGCGGAGCGGCTGCGCCTCAAGCACATGGCTGACTACCCCGACTACAAGTACCGGCCCAGGAAGAAGGTTAAGTCCGGCAACGCCAGCTCCGGCTCCTCGGCCGCCGCCGCCTCCAAGCCCGGGGAGAAGGGAGACAAGGTCGGTGGCAGCGGCGGGGGCAGCCACGGGGGCGGCGGCGGCGGCGGCGGGAGCGGCAACGCGGGGGGAGGCGGCGGCGCGAGCGGCGGCGGCGCCAACTCCAAACCCGCGCAGAAGAAGAGCTGCGGCTCCAAGGTGGCGGGCGGCGCGGGCGGCGGGGTCAGCAAGCCGCACGCCAAGCTGGTCCTGGCGGGCGGCGGCGGCGGCGGGAAAGCTGCGGCCGCCTCCTTCGCCGCCGAGCAGGCGGGCGCCGCCCTGCTGCCCCTGGGCGCCGCGGCGGCCTCCGACCACCATGCGCTGTACAAGGCGCGGACTCCCAGCGCAGCGGCCTCGGCCTCCGCCGCGGCCTCGGCCTCCACCGCACTCGCGGCCCCGGGCAAACACCTGGCCGAGAAGAAGGTGAAGCGCGTCTACCTGTTCGGCGGCCTGGGCGCGTCGGCTTCGCCGGTGGGCGGCCTGGGCGCGGGCGCAGACCCTAGCGACCCCCTGGGCTTGTACGAGGAGGGGGGCGCGGGCTGCTCTCCCGACGCGCCGAGCCTGAGCGGCCGCAGCAGCGCCGCCTCGTCGCCGGCCGCCGGTCGCTCGCCCGCGGACCACCGCGGCTACGCCAGCCTGCGCGCCGCCTCGCCCGCCCCGTCCAGCGCGCCCTCGCACGCGTCCTCCACCTCGTCTCACTCCTCCTCCTCCTCCTCGGGCTCATCCTCCGACGACGAGTTTGAGGACGACCTGCTCGACCTGAACCCCAGCTCAAACTTTGAGAGCATGTCCCTGGGCAGCTTCAGCTCGTCGTCAGCGCTGGACCGGGACCTGGACTTCAACTTTGAGCCCGGCTCTGGCTCGCACTTCGAGTTCCCGGACTACTGCACGCCCGAGGTGAGCGAGATGATCTCTGGAGACTGGCTGGAGTCCAGCATCTCCAACCTGGTCTTCACCTACTGAAGGGTGCGGGCGGGGAGAAGAAGGGACGAGGGGAAGAGAGAGGAAAAAATAAAGAAAACAAAAGAAAAAATAGAAAAAAAGAAAAAATAGAAAAAAAAAACAGATGAAGAGTTGAAAGAGAAAAGGGAAAATAAAAAGAAGATAAAGAAAAAAGTGAGCAGCGCTGGCTTGGAGAGGAGCGCGGGGGCGTTTGGACCCGCGCCGCATCCCCACCTCCCGGGCCGTGGCGCCGCGGCCCCGCGGAGGGACGCGCAGGAGGCGAGGTAGACAGGGCGACCTTTATTGTTATTGATGTTGTTGTTGATGGCGAAAAAGCTACTTCGAGTTTCCTCCCCTTTGCTTGAAGAGACCCCCCCTCCTTCCAGCGAGCTTCCGGACTTGTGCGCACCCCCAGCAAGAAAGAAGCCGGGGAGTTTTTTGGAGACTGGAGGAATCTCGCCCTCTCGCCTCGCCTCTTTGGTGGCTTTTGCTTTTGTTTTTACTGGGTTTCTTGGTCCAGAGAGGAGCGGGGGTGAAGGCTGTGCGCCCCCACCCCCTAGCAGCGCCTGCGGGGGAGGAAGGCTCGGGGCGAAGGTCTGCGGCCCGCAGACGCGGAGGGGAGCGCAGGGACCGAGACTCCACGCTGGCGAACGCCCCTTTTGGTTTTTCTGTCCCTCTTTCTTTTTTCCTTGTCCCTGCAGCCAGAGGCGGAGACACGAGGCGGGCCCGGCGGCGTGGCCGCGCGGGGAAGGGACTGGGGGCCCGGGGAGCCGCGGCGGCGGGCGGGGCGGGGGACGCGGACCCGAGGGTCCGGCGCCGCGCGGGTGCCCGGGGCGCGGCCGGCGCCGGGAGGAGACTGACGCGCGCGCCGCCGCGGAGGGCGAGTGGCTTGGGGAAAGGTTTCTTCTCTTACTCGGAATCGTGATGGTGTTGGATTATTTCACTGGTGGGGTTAATATAGCATGTTATCCTGTCTATCTTTTAAAGATTTCTGTATAAGACTGTTGAGCAGTTTTTAAAATAGTGTAGGGTAATATAAGAAGCAGATAGATGGCGCTATGTTTGATTCCTACAACAGAATTATCACCAGCTTTTTTTCATTCTTAACTCTTTAAAGGATTCAAACGCAACTCAAATCTGTGCTGGACTTTAAAAAAAAAAAAACAATTCAGGACCAAATTTTTTCTCAGTGTGTATGTGTTTATTCCTTATAGGTGTAAATGAGAAGACGTGTTTTTCCCTCACCGATGCTCCATCCTCGTTTTTGGGTTTTTTGTTTTTTTTTTTGGTTGTTTTTTTTTTTTCCTTGTAAATGTAATCAGATGCCATTTTATATGTGGACGTATTTATACTGGCCAAACCTTTATTTTTTTTTCTTATGTTATCCCTTTTTTCTTTCCTTTTTTTTTTTTTTTGGCTTTCTTTTCTTTTGGCTTTATTTTTAACTTTCTTCTTTTTTTTTCTTTGTTTCCGTCTTTTCTTTTTTTTTTTTTTTCCTTTTCTTTTTTCTTTTTTTGTAGTTGTTGTTACCCACTCCATTTTACGTCTCCTTCACTGAAGGGCTAGAGTTTTAACTTTTAATTTTTTATATTTAAATGTAGACTTTTGACACTTTTAAAAAACAAAAAAAGACAAGAGAGATGAAAACGTTTGATTATTTTCTCAGTGTATTTTTGTAAAAAATATATAAAGGGGGTGTTAATCGGTGTAAATCGCTGTTTGGATTTCCTGATTTTATAACAGGGCGGCTGGTTAATATCTCACACAGTTTAAAAAATCAGCCCCTAATTTCTCCATGTTTACACTTCAATCTGCAGGCTTCTTAAAGTGACAGCATCCCTTAACCTGCCACCAGTGTCCACCCTTTCAACCCCAGGCTCCTAGAATGGGGAGGAGAATTAGCCAAGCATTCAGTGCTTTTTTAAGAAAAACAAGATATTTAAACGAAATACTCTTCTGTCCAGAGGCTTTAAAACTGGTGCATTTACAGCAAAAAGGGATCCTGTAGCTTTAACTTGTAAACCACATCTTTTTTGCACTTTTTTTATAAGCAAAAACGTGCCGTTTAAACTACTGGATCTATCTAAATGCCGATTTGAGTTCGCGACACTATGTACTGCGTTTTTCATTCTTGTATTTGACTATTTAATCCTTTCTACTTGTCGCTAAATATAATTGTTTTAGTCTTATGGCATGATGATAGCATATGTGTTCCGGTTTATAGCTGTTGTGTTTAAGATTGAAAAAAGTGGAGAACATCTTTGTACATTTAAGTCTGTATTATAATAAGCAAAAAGATTGTGTGTATGTATGTTTAAAATAAGGACAGGCACCGGGACGTCTGCCTTCTAAGGCAGTTCCGTTAAGGGTTTTTGTTTTTAAACTTTTTTTTGCCATCCATCCTGTGCAATATGCCGTGTAGAATATTTGTCTTAAAATTCAAGGCCACAAAAACAATGTTTGGGGGAGAAAAAAAAATCATGCCAGCTAATCATGTCAAGTTCACTGCCTGTCAGATTGTTGATATATACCTTCTGTAAATAACTTTTTTTGAGAAGGAAATAAAATCAGCTGGAACTGAACCCTAAATCTTGACTTTTGTCATTTTTCTGCCCAGCACTTGAGATCAGGAGGGCCCTACCATGTGGGTAGACCACCCATCCCATCTGCCTTGGCTTTGGAGAAGCAGGGTCTAAATGCCACCTTATTGGCAAGTACCAAGTTCCTCTTGGCCAGATTTGGCAGGCCCTGACCCCGAAATGATGGCGTCAGCTGAATATGTGTCAACTCCACACTGCTTTCGGCTTTCGAGGAATTTTCTGAGTTTACTACATTTAAGGGAGCACACCCTTTGTCTTGAAATCTGAAAGGGGGGAGGGGCGTGGGGGATGGGATTCTTCACTGATCCCACTGGCAGGTCTTTTTGTGGTTTTATTTTATGCTTCTGAAGCTCCTTTCTCCTTACCTTGCCAGTACTTGACCATCTAGTAGTAGCTAGGATTTGTTGCACCCAGAAGAACATAATGAGCCTGGTAAGTTATTAGTAGAGGTGGAGAAAGCCTTTGCTAGTTACAAGATGCAAAAGATGTGTAAGTCTTCAATGACGGGGAGGTCACCATGTCATCTTGTGCTGTGCCCTGCATGAGTAATACCACAATGGGAGTGCCTCGCTGGCCCACTCGGTCTGAACAGGACGGTGGGCTTCATCTGGCAGGGCTTTTTCTTTCTGAGCACCAGGCGAAGCACCATTATTGAGACTGGTATGCGAGGACACAAAAGTGCCTTGGGTTTACCAGGTCCATTACTATTTGGTTTGGAACATACAACTTAAGTAGCACTATTTCCTGTTTATTGGGGTGAGGCCACCAATCTCCATTAGCTGTAACAAAAGCCATCTTCACTTCTAAATGTCTGTTAAGTAAAAATGTGTAAAACGTGATGTGTCTCAGCCATTCAGCACTGGAGAGGAAGGGTTAAAGAGCAGATGTGCTGGGGAGTAATCCCCCAGTCTGGATTGCTGCTAGGTAAGGGAGTGGCCTGGGTCCTGGAATGTGTAGCTGGAAGAAGAGATTCTTGGAGACTGTAGGCCAAAACAAGCATTTTGTTCAGAAGAAGCAGTAGTTTTTCCCTCTCCAAAATAATATAATGATTGTTTTAATATAATTCATCTCTTAAAGATAGCTATTAATTTCCAATTTTTTTCATGTGTGCTGCTAACAAGTTTTTAATTACATGTATATTCTGCAGTTAGAATATCCCATTTTTAAAAAAGATCTTGAAACAGCACAGCACCTTAAGTTTCTTCAGAGATCTTTGGGGAAAGGAGGAAGGATTCTTGTGCACAACAATGCTCAAGTTCAATATTCATCCTCATGGTGATGATACTGTGATTAGTTGACCTATATGATGCCTGTTTTTCTAAATGATGCATGTGAAAGCTATTTTTATTTTGTACGGTTCTCCTGCTAGAACTATTTATTTTCCCTTGATTTTTCCATGTAAGGGCAGATGCTTAAAATATTTTAAGAACCATGGGACTGGGGATGTTGCTCAGTGGTAGAAGGCTTGCCTAGCATGTAATAAGCCCTGGAATTGATCCCCAGCACTGGGGGAAAAAAATTTAAAGGATTTTGATACACATTTAAGCTTTTAAAGGCAACATATAGTATGTATTTCCTAGCAAGTAGTAGAATAAATGTATTTTTGGACTTTTTCTTCTGAATCAATTTTCATTCAGAAATGATACATGGTCGGTGGCTCAAGGCATAACAAACAAGAAACCCAATAGTTTAGTGTGGCTTTTTCTTCCGGATAATTTGGATCAATGGAAAAGAGTAGGTTTCAGATTTTCTTTTAAGATTATCAAGCAATTTTTCTTAAAAGACACTGCTTCTGGCCCTGTATTCCATCAGAAATATAAATCAGTGTTACTTGCTGAAGTCGGTTTTATCGATACCTAGCTGAAACCCTTTAGGTACCGAGAAACATAATGGCCCATGCAAGGTGATGCTGTGGCTGGTGGGTCAGGTGCCTGGAAAGGCCATCTGGATCTTTGCTGACACTGCTAAGGGTCTGGGGTGACACGAAGGGACTCTGAGGAGATAGTGGACGTCACCCTTTACCAAGTACGTCCTGTGTTGCAGGAAACACCAATTTGCAAACATGATGTGGTGAATGCCTTGATCAGAATGCTTCATCATAAATTTTATTTTTTCTGTCTTGTGACTGGTTTATTGAGCAGTGTAGGTTTCATGGATTGACCAGCATTAATTATAAATTTTAAACAATTTAGGAGCTCCAAGGAAGTATATGAAAGATGCATATGTTCCCCCGCCCCCCCAAAAAAGGATGAATTCCAGGAATGAAAATCCATTTTACCTATTTGGATTTGTCAGGGTGGAAGGTTGGTGTGCTTTCTCCTTCTTTCTGGGGGTTTTTGTTTTGTTCTCCCCCTCCCCCACCTTGAGTCCTGCAAAATCCCTCTCTAGCCCATGTTCATTCATGTTTACCCCTGACCCTCTGATTCAGCCTTGAAAATTACCTCCACACACGTTTCTAGATTTTTCACTGTAGCTATCAGAAAGCTGCAGTGGGCAGGGCACCTCCAGGCAGGTGCCAATGTCTACCTCGATGTCTCTTTGCCCAGAATAAAGTGCAGGATTCACATGTCAAGGCCTTGCACAAAATGATTTTCGTCCACCTTTTCAGGTCTCCAGCACTCCAGGACACCAGACCAGACCCTCCCATTAGACTAGACCTTGAATACATTTTGTACCCCCAAATTTGCTTTCCTTAGTTCTTTTTGCATAACAAGGGTTTGTTTCTTAGACGTTGACTTCACATTTGCATTGTTTCCATGGGGCCTGCAGAGCATCCAAAATGCATTTGCATCTTACACTGCCTGTGGGAAGTGGGAGCCCTGCACTTGGTGAAAACCTGGTAGACACTGGCTCTGAGACTCCCTAGGGAGAGGCCGCTGTCAGAGTTCTCAACCTCTTGGAACTGCAGGGTTCCACTGCTGTCTGAGGTGTACAGTTGTGAGGATGGAGTGAAACCCTGTTTCCTGCGGGATGCGGGTAGTGCCCAGCCACTGGAGGTGCTCAGCAAATACCTCCAGGTCCCTTACCTCATGGCTGTTATAGAAAGGTAATGCCTGTACAAGCCAGCACCCTGCCAGCCACACGGGAGACACTGCAGCCTCAGCAGTAGGCCCTGAGT